GGGGTCCGTACAATAGTTCAGGGACCAAAATAGGGGTTTAACCTTTTTTTTTTTTTTTTTTTCTGGCAATTCCTTTTAGTTTGATCGTAGGCAACCACAATTTTCAGTTTTTTTGGGGCAAGTGAAAGCAGACAACGGGACAAACATTTTCTTGAACACATAATAAGAAGCAATAAACAAACATAGGCACGTTCCCTATGTCATGGATCCGAACAACATGGACATGTGGGCTTGCTAACTAGATAGTTCCTTTTAAGGCATATATACATGCATTTTCATCACCAGTTAATTAATCAATCCTCAAACTTTGTTCATTTGCAGCGTTTTATGGTAACTGGCAGCCTTGATTACCACTAAACACATGACATATTTTTTCTAGTACTAACATGTATATATCTTTTGAGATCGAAGAAAATCATGTTATTAATTAAAATACCTGGATTAGTAATCAAAAGAGTAAAATACCCTAATAAATTAATACACAACATGATATTAAAATAAATTCATAAAGAGTCGTTGTATTTAAAGTATCAAGACATTTCTTATTTTTATTCTTTTACAGTCTCACTTTTTTTGCAAAAATAAATAAATAAATAAATTCTACCTTTCACAGTCATTCAAGGAGGAGGTGGAGTTTCTTCGTTCTAGGCTGTACAAATGGGAAGGTGATGCCAATACCTTCCACAAAGAAGGACCTTACATTGAGGTGGTGACTTCACCAAGCAATCCTGATGGAACAATTCGACGAGCTGTGGTGAATCGTGGAGGCAAGCTGATTCATGATCTTGCTTATTACTGGCCTCAATATACCCCGATCACTGGTGCCGCTGATCATGACATTATCTTGTTTACCTTCTCCAAGTGCACTGGGCATGCCGGTTCTCGAATTGGGTGAGTTACATCATGATAATAAATATGAACATTAATGTACTCCTCTAATTTAATACACTTTACAATATACGTATTAATAAATTATTATTTTTGAATTTGAATTAAAAGTAAGAAAACTTAAAATTTTAGATTTTAATAAATGAATTAGTAAATGTTAATTAATATGTTGAACTAAAAAGTATATCAATCATTTTCTTGTATATATTTATCAACAATTAAGTTAATATAATCAGTACTCATGAAACTTGTCCTAATATTAAAGTTACAGTGTCTATCAGCACAGCTAAGCTCTTCTTGATTTTGTCCTTTGTCAAGATGGGCGATTGTCAAAGATGAGCAGGTGGCCAGTAAGATGACGAAGTTTATTGAGCTGAGCAGCATTGGTGTGTCAAAAGAGTCCCAGCTCCGAGCTGCAAAGATTCTCGAGGCACTTAACGATGGCCTGGAAAACGATACTAGGTCGGATAACTTCTTTGAATATGGCCGTCGCATCATGGCTGAACGATGGGAGAAACTACGGAAGATAGTGGAAAGCAGTAGCAAGATTTTTGGTCTTCTGGAATATCCGGATGAGTTCTGCAACTTCAGCAAAGGAATAACCGGATCATACCCTGGTAAATGCACCGTAAATTTGGTTTCATTTGTGCATTTAAAGTTAAATTTTTTTTTTTTTGCTAATGCTTTTGGTTTCTTGATTTTTCTACAACAAACAGCTTTTGCGTGGCTGGAGAGTAAAAAGAACGAGGACATAGCGAATCTTCTGGGGGCACATAAGATGCTGACGAGAACAGGAACTCGATTTGGGACAGAGTCGAAGTATGTAAGGATAAGCATGATGAGTCGAGATGAGGTTTTCAATTTGTTCTTGGAGAGGTTGGCTGCAGCCAAAGCAAGCAATGGGAATGATCACTAGCTGGGAAGGATATTGGTGGGTCACGGATAACTCTGAGTCTAGGCGTAGAAAGCGAATTATTTAAGCGTTTATCACAGATGCAGCCCTTGATGGGTCTGGTTAATTTTGCCCTTTTCAATTCCTATGTTTTTCTAGGCCTAAAGCAAATCCGTGCGAATGCTTTTTCTTTGATGTTCAAATTCATCAATGAGAATGCTGTTCTTCTATATGCATCAGTTTTAAATACCAATCTCTTTAATCCAAAAACAACACCCTTATATGACTTAACTTTGTCGGCAAGAACTTTGCTTATATATCCCACCTCTCCTTGATGGCTATAGTTATTGACATCACCAACTTTGTTAGGTCCACTAAAATTATCAAAAATTTTATTTTAATTTAACTGTTAAAAGTAATTGATGATGATAAAATAGTTTAACATCTATAATTTAACAAACTAAATTGGTACTATCATTTTGTTATCTATGATATTAATACATTTTATAATTGTGTTTTTTATAATTTGATATTTAAATTTTTTACCTAATCAATTATATTTTAAATATTGTTAAAAAACAAATCAATCTGACCAAACCAAAACAATCCGATCTAAATAGGATTGGTTTGGTTATAATATAATGGTGGATTAGATTTGTTTAAAAATTTTACTAATCAATTAAAATAGTTTAGTTTTAAAAATGTTAAATCCATTCCTATTCACACTATGAGGTATGAGCACCCCTACTACCTACTCATCCTAAGATTTGAATTTGAAATCTCTAATATGGATATTCAAGTTCTTAATTGTTGGATCATCCTTTAAAAGACATGAACCTATACTTTTTGTTCTTAAGTATGTAGAACATTTTCTTATATAGAGTACTAGTAAGCCTTACTTTTTATTCCTAAACAATGTGAGATTTTTTGTCATTCCACAATTTCACTAATCATGTATAAATAGAAGAATAAAATATTTATATATCTAGAAGATGCCAAGGCAAAGATTAGAAGTCTAGATGAAAAAGGGAACGTCAAGCCACTTACAAAAGCAAAATTAGAGAGAAGAAAAACTTCCCTATACAACTTCATGGAATGGAGCAAGGCTAGAGATAGAATGTTATTTCAAAAATCAAGAGAAAAGTGGCTAGAGGATGGGGATGTCAATTCAAAATATTTCCATGAGTGCATCATCAAAGGGCAGAAGCAATGTGGGATAGAAGGCATTATAAAAGAGGGCAAATGGATAGAGGAAGTCCAAGAAGTAAAGTGAACAACATAGGAATACTTTCAAGGGAATTTTGAGGAGGAAAAGTGGAATAGACCAAGCATAGGACCAAGTCTGATTAAATAAGTCAACAATGAGGATAACATAATAGTTGTTTCTACATTCAAGAAGAAGAAATTAGGGGAATAGTGTGGAGTTGTGATGGAAACAAAAGCCTTAGGCTGGTTTAGTTTCAATTTCAATTCCATCAAGAAAATCTAGCCAATTATAAAAGAAGCATTTGTGCTTTCTTGGCAGAATTTTATGAAAATGGAAAAATGGTGAAGGAAGGCAATGCCTCTTTTATAGTTTTGATCCCAAAGAAGGAAAACTCAAAGGAGTTAAAAGACTACAAGCCAATTTCCTTAATTGGTTGTATGTATAAGATTGTTTCAAAGATTTTAGCAAATAGATAGAGGAGGGGTTATGGATTCCATTATCAATCAAAACCAAATAGCTTTTGTTGGAGGGCGATAAATAACAAATGGTATAATAATCACAAATGAGATCTTACATGAAGCAAAAAGGCAAAAGAAGCAGATATTGGTATTCAAGCTAATTTTGAGAAGGCGCACAACTCTATTAACTAGTGTTTTCTAGATTGTATGATGGCAAAATTTGGCTTCAGTGCAAACTAGAGGGCATGAATTCAAGAGTGTCTATCATCAGTTAGGGTGTTAGTGCTAGTAAATGGAAGCCTAAGGGTAGAATTTCCTGTTTCAAAAGGACCTCGACAGGGTGATCATCTTGCTTCATCTCTCTTCTTAATGTTGGCCAATGCATTGAATGGACTGATTCAAAATGTTGTGGAGAAGGATTTATACAAAGGACTAGCAATTAGATCGAAGAACTTTGAGATTTCCAATCTTCAATTTGCAAAAGGTTCAATAACCTTTAATGAAACCTTGGCATGCAATGTGTGGGCTATAAAATACATATTGAAAAGCTTTGAGATTGTCTTTGGTCTTAAGGTGAATTTCCATAAAAGTGCCATATATATCATCAATGTGAATGAAGCTGAACTTGAGACTTTCGCTAGAAAGTTGAGTTGCATGGGAAGTTCAATACCATTTAAATATCTAGAAGTGCTAGTAGGTGCGGACTAGAAAAAATTATCTACTTGGACATTTGTAATTGATTGTTTGAGGAAAAAACTATATAGTTGAAGAGGCAACAATTTGTTCTTTGGTGGCCGTATTGTGCTTCTAAATTTTGTCCTTTCATGCATCTCAGTCTATTACTTTTCATGCTATAAGACACCCAAAAAGGTAACCAATCTTATTACTTCAATTCAACATAATTTCTTGTAGGGAGGGGTTGAGGAAAAATGCAAAATTCTTGGGTATCATGGGAAAAATTTTGTAGAATTAAGGATGAAGGTGGTCTAGGTGTGAGGAATGTAGAATTGTTTAATAAAGCGTTATTAGGTAAATGAAGGTGGAGGTTATTAAATGAGAAAGACTCATTGTGGAGAAAGGTGCTAATAGAGAAGTATAATATTAATAGGAGAAATGAATGAGAGGGGGGTGCATGGAGTGGAAGTAGCTCAAGGTAGTAGTCTAATCTGTGGAAGCTAGATAAGGAAAATAGTAATAGTGAGGGTTGGTTTCGGATGAGTGTGAGTAAAATGGTTGAGGAGGGAATTGATACTCTTTTTTGGCATAACATATAGGTGGACAATAGTCCTTTTAAGGTAAAATGTGACATATAATAAAGTTTGTTGAAGGATGAGGATGCTTTAATTTCTAAAATGGGAGTCTAGAGTGAAGGGGAGTGGCAATGGAAGTGGAGATGGAGGAGACCTCTTTTTGCATAGGAATCTAACCTTTTGTAGGAACTTCAATCTGATGTACAAAGAGTGCAATTCAAAGAAGGGCAACAAGACACTTGGATTTGGAAGGATGGACACAATGATGGCTAGTTAGCATGCTTGGTGTATAATAAGCTATCTTTAGAATCAAGGGATGTAAAAGCTGCTACATACAAAACAATTTGGAACAAGCATGTCCTCCTTAAGGTGGCAACCTTTGTATGGAAAGTGCTACAAAACAAAATACCAACAAAGGAAACCATGTTGCGAAGAGGTGTTAAAACTAAGGATAATGATTCCTCTTGTGTACATGGTGGACAGGAACCTAAGACCACAAATCATTTACTCTTTGAATGCAAAACATCACGGCTAACTTGGGTCTCTTGTTACAATTGGTGGGGCATACAAGTGGCATATCACAAAGGGAAGGCTAGATATGTATTGGAAAATGCATATTAGTCTCAACTTCCAAAATAAATTGGAGTTCCAACTTTAAACTAGGTCATTTTATTTAATTAAAACTTAATTCAAAATTTAAAAATCCATCTTATTAAACGTTTATATTTAAATTTGGAAATTAGTTATATTAGAATATATAATCAGTTTTCAAATTTAGGTATCAACATCTAATAGGATGGATTTTAAAATTTTGAATTGAGATTTTGGTTTCCAAATATCGGTTGAGACTCCAATTTTTTTGAAAGTCAGAATTGATACGCACTAATCTCATATACTAATCTCATATATATATATATATATATATATAACTCCTGAAAAATTTAAGTTCCAATCTATATTTGGAAACCAAAATCTCAATTCAAAATTTAGAATTCACCTTATTAAATATTAATATCTAAATTTGAAAATTGATTATATATTTAAATATAATTAATTTCTAAATGTAAATATCAATATTTAGTAAAATAGATTTTTAAATTTTTATATGGAAAAAATGCATATTAATCTCAATTTCCAAAAGATTAAAACCCAAGTTTGGTCCCTGAACTATTATATGGACCCTCGATTTGGTCCCTAAACTTAAAAAATCCCTAATTTGGCTCTTACTGTTTACCATTTTTATCCTGATTTGGTCCTTCCGTTAAAAATTTGGTGACGTGGCATGTTATTTTACTAGTACAAGGTGACATGTCAAATATTAATACACGTGGAAGACAATGTGACAAAAAAGTGATGACATGGAAAAATAATAATATAAAATAATATTATTATGAAAAAATATATATATAAAAAATTTCTTTTTACCTTCTCTTACCCCTTAGAACCTTAGAACCCAGGCACTGGGTTCGGTGGAACCCAGCATGCCTAGGTTCCTTCGAACCCAGGTCTTGGGTTCCTTGGGACCTAGCCTTGGGTTCCACTGAACCCAGGGGCAAAATATATATATATATATATATATGTTTTTTTTTTTTTTTGGGTTTTGTTGTTTGATGATTGATGAAGATTAAGAATTGATTGATAAAGAAGGCAAGGCAAGGCAAGGAAGAGGAAGGAGAAAGAAAGGATGTTGCTTGGTTTGAAAGAATCTAGGGGCAAAAAATTTTGAAAAAAATTCTGTTTTTTTGTAGGTTCTGTTGTTTGACAATGATGATGAAGAACCAACAAGGGTAGAAATTGGTTGAGATGAATAGATTGGTTGAGATGTTAGAGATTGATTGACATGTTAGGTTTGCAGAAGTTGAAGAAAGGGAAGAAGAAAGAGGAACGAAAAAAAAAAAATTTTTTTTTACGTGGGATGAGTTGGAATGCCATGTCATTTATTTTTGCCAACTTGTTAATTTTTGTGTGACACGTAAATATTTTTGTTGTCTTCGTCCGTCAATTAATGTGAACTTAACGGAAGGACCAAATCGAGGAAAAAATGGTAAACAATAGGGACCAAATTAGGGATTTTTTAAGTTTAGGAACCAAATCAAGGTCCGTACAATAGTTCAAGGATCAAAATGGGATTTTAACTTTTTCAAAATAAATTAGAGTCTTAACCTTAAATTA